GGGCTGGTAAACGATATAGCCCCCACTTAAGATCTTATGATGATTCACCTAATGATATAGACTCGTTAAGAGATGACTCGACAATCTTCTAGAGTTTAAGTACTCAAGAAATATTTTAGCAATTTTTTTTGTCTTGTTCGGATAATAATTATGTTTTTATGCAAGAAAACATAATTTCTCCTAAAAATAATAACTTCCCTAGTTGAAAGTAATTGCTCTACATTCTAGGAACTATATAAGCAATTACCTTCACATCCTAGAAACCACTTTAACACTTATCTCCCTCGTCTTGGAAACTACCTTCACATTTATCCCAATAACTAATTTAAATCTAGATAATTAAAAAAATTAGAACAATTTTATTCTGGCAGACTTGTGTCACTCACTCTAGCAGGCATGTGTCAATCATTTTGAGTAGATATGTCGCTCCTAACAGTTATTTCAAAAAAAAAAATGTGGCTCATAACAGTAAAATATTATGATATGCACGTAATCTATTAGAGATTAATCTAGTTTCACCTTTTATTGGGCCCAATTGATGATTGATTGTATCCAACCAAAATACTTGTCAGTTACATGAATCATAGCCCAACCCCATCATATTCCATGTGTATATAATAAAAAGGAAAAAGAAGGGGACGGGAAAGAGAAAGAACACGTCATATTTCTTCTAAAAGGGTAACAAGCTCATTGTTTTGAGGGCGAGGAAGGGAAGAAGAAAAAAAAAAGGAGATTTTGCAAGGAAGGAGACTGACCAGGAGAGAGCCAGGAAGGAAGGAAAAAGAAAGAAAGAACTAAAGAAAAATGAGACTAATGTTAAGTTTTGTTTTTCTTTTCAAGTTAAAAAGGAGAGTGTAATTCGAAATATTTGATAGGTTTAAGTTTTATATTAATACAATTAAAATTGTGGGATGCAATTTGATAGAAACACAAAGGTATCCCCATATTGGCCACATTTTCCCCCTTTTCTTTTCTATCTTATTTCTCTGTTTTCTTGTCTATCTTATTTTTTTTATTTCTACATGAGGATACCTTTATCCTCTTTATTTTTATTCTCTTATTATCTTTTTCTGTTTTAAATAAAAAATACATTGAACCTTATTGAATAGAATGATCGGACTCGGGTTGTTAAATTTTCCAGCAACTGATTAACAATCTTGATCGAGATCTGCAATATGCTGTACAAGTTGAGGGTAAGATGGATTTAGATTCAGTCTCCAATTATGATGAAGTGAAGAATGAAATCATGGAAAAGGTGCTAGCATCTTCTTCTGTAAGACTATGTTTCAGTTTTCATGCATTTCCTGCATTTTTCTAATGGAAATTTCCAGTTATATTTCTGTGTTAATAGTTCTTAATAGTGGTTCTTGCACAGATTTAAGTCTGCTAAACTAATTTCTTCTGTAATCCATCTTGAGAACTTGATGAATTTTTTTATAGATAATATTCTATGTTTTTAGCTCTTTGATGGTAGTTTATTTCCACCCACCATTATTCCATTTGTTTTTTCCAGAAGTAAAAGTTTCAAAAGGAAGGCTAAAGTGGAACCAAGTAAATATTTCCAGTATATGAGACTAAGTTTTGGATCATAAAGTTGAAAGAAATGCTGCATCAACAAATTTAGGATTTCTGGAATCTGAAGGAAGAAATAGAAAACTGGCAATTATAGTATGCATCCATCTCCAAGTTGACAAAGGAAAATGCACTGTTGGAATGTGTGTATTTGTAATAATTTTATAGAAAGAAATACCTATGTAATTAATTTCTAGGGTTTTCTTTTCTTACACTTAAAATTGGGTATATGTAGAGCCAAATTATTTAATAATATTATTATATTCTATTCTCTCACATGGTATGAGAAGAAAATTAAAAAAAAAATACACTATACCCATCACAGACCCTCATAGCCGGCAATCCCCTCGCCTGGCCTTCATAGCCAAGGTGCACCTCCCCAGCTGTGCTGCTCTACTCCAGTCGATCTGCTCCAGCCACCTCTGTTTTTTCCACTAAACCTGCTCTGTGTTTCTACCACAGCTGCTCTGCAAACAAGCACAGAAACCAGCGCACTCTATTTCTGCCCTGCACGGCTGCCCCCACTTTTTCTACTGTATTTTGCACATATTCTGCTCAGCTTCATGATCTGTTTCTGCCCTGTTTCTGCACACTCTATTTAAGTACAAGATTAAGTACAGAATTAAGTGGTTGCATGATTAAGTACAGAATTAGAATTTCGAGCAATGGTACAATGAGTATACAAACTGTTATTGTTAAAGATTATCTTGGAGAATTTGAAGATTAAGTGGGATGTTCCAGTGAGCCTTTATTACGACAACAAATATGCTATGAGTATTACCCACAACCCAGCATAGCATAACATGACCAAACACATTGAAATTGATTAAATTTGATCAAAGAAAAACTAGATAATGGTTTGATTCGCACACCCTTTGTGCCTTCTAGTTCTTAGCTTACCGATGTGTTTATCAAAGACTTGAGCAATCTAGCATTTCAAACAATCGTTACCAAGTTGGGAATAGACAATATTGGTATACCAACTTGAGAGAGATTGTTTGAAAAATGTATATTTATAATTATTTTGTAAAAAGGTATATTAGTAAAAATGTACATATGTATTTAATTTTTAGGGTTCATTTTCTTATTCTTAAAGTTGTATATATATATATATGACCTATTCAATATATCACAACATACTACTCTCCCACATGCACTTTTTGGTGATGTGAAGGTATGTTTTTGATCTTCAAGCACCAAGTAAGCCTATCAAAGCAAGGGAAATTGCATTTGACACTGCTTTATTTTATGCTTTTTAAACTCTACTTGAAGAAAGGTAACAGTATGTGACACGTTCTAGGCATAATCCAATTGACTCTAAATTCTAGGCACTTGGAACTTCTATACAGTTAATATTCTTCACAGGAAATGGAGGACTAGACTTCACATGGTTGTGACCTGAATTTTTTGATGATAAAATATTTTATTTTCTGATGTTATGGACGAACGTCGATATTCTTTCTCTGTAATCTATTCCTTCTTATGCAGCTTGTGATGTTACGAGATGAACCTGTACGTGACGAGTGCCCTCTTATTTATCATTTAGATGTGGCAGCAATGTATCCAAATATTATTTTAACAAACAGGCTTCAGGTATGTATTGATTTTTGTTACATTCTGAATAACAAATTTTAATGATCGATTTCGTTGTTCAATTTTTTTTAAGTTAATATTTTTTGGTTAATAAGAAATGAATAATTTATTGGAGTGAAGGAAATTACAAAGAGGGAGAAGAAGATGTCCTTCTAAAACCTCCCAAAATATAACTAGAAAGGAAGCGTCAATAAAATAAAGCAATCCCCATCCCTCTGCAAAACAGCCATAGAACTTCTTGAGAAAAGTCATTGAGCCTTGATCCATAGATAAGCCAAGGCACTTCTCTATTCAGATAATGTTGACAGAAAATGTTGGTTAAAAATCTTAACGATGTAGGAAAATTGGTTAACTTACCCACTTAGATATTTGGGGATAAAGAGTTAGAAATTACGCCCGGAGTTTCTTAAGCATCATACCTAAGAAGTTGCATTACACTTAAAGGTTGATTAAGTTATACAACCAAAGTATTGAGAAAAATTTTGAAGTGTTTTATTGAATAACTGAACTCTGCGAGACTAAAAAGGAATTTATAATGTTTCCTGAGTAACTTTTTCCACATAAGATTGAACTAAAAAATATTAACTATAAGGAAAATAAGAAAACTAAATGCTAAAAATAAGAAAACTGTAAAGTTAAAAAATATAATAATGAACTCCAAAATCAGTAAATTTTATATTTAAGATAATTATAATTAATTGTCTGCTTAGGTGATCTAACCCTTTCTGCATCACCCAACATTCACAAACATCCAATACCAGCAATGGTATGTGTCTCCAGAAAGCCTTGTGCTCCTTTCACTTCCCTATACCTCAAAGAGAGGAAGATATAAAATTTGCCAGGATACTGGGGCAGGTCCACACTCACCAACAATAGGAAAACTCCATGGCTTCCATACGACATCATAATGTAAAAAGAAATTGTATTTAGTCTCTCAACTTTGGAAACAGATCACATGATGGCAAGGGATAAGCCCTACACGATCTAGGAACCTGTATCATATCATTTCTAATAATCCTTTTAAATACCATGGTCCGAATAAACAATTTAACCTTGGAGCTGTTTTAGCCTTTTAAACGGAATTAGTGATAAAACCAAGTTTTAACCAAAAGGATCTTGAGTTAGAAAATTGTATATTAACTTTAACTAAAGAACTGACACAGACTACTGGTTTTAGTATCAATATAGCATCTCCAAGAGCATAGCACTAGAAATTTGTTGCAACAATATAAAGGTGTAATTTGATGTTTGCTAATGGTATATTCATGGCCCAACCTTTTAGGATCGAAAGTCTATGTTGGGTTCAATGATTAGGACAATATCGACTGTAGTTTGTATTTGTTTCCATATGCAAGTGCTATAAGCTTCATAATTTTCCACAGAATCAAGGTACAAATCTATTTATACATGTGTTATCCACAAAGAATATCAATTGGTAGTTTCTCCCTCACTTTTTAGTTGTTTCTTTGGTCTTTGAAGTGTGTTTGCATTTTAATAACTAACAAGGGTTTTTGATAATTTGCAGCCACCATCAATAGTTACAGATGAAGTCTGCACTGCATGTGATTTCAACCGTCCTGGCAAGACTTGTCTTCGGAAGCTTGAATGGGTTTGGCGTGGGGAGATATTCATGGCAAAGAAAAGGTAAATATGATTTGGCATTTTGTCTTCCTTCCTATATCAATAAAATATAAGTGAAAATTATACACAAATCTTGGTTTGAATAATTTCAGTGACTATTATCATTTGAAGAAACAAATTGAGTCTGAGTTTGTTGAAGGCACCAATGGTCAATTATGTAAATCTTTTCTAGACCTACCAAAGATAGAGCAACAATCAAGGCTGAGGGAGCGGTTGAAGAAATATTGCCAGAAGGTATGTATGTATTCTTAAATAACATATGTGGTCAAGATAATTTCATCTTGATTGGTTTGGTGCATTTAATAGGCATATAAGCGGGTACTTGACAAGCCAATCACTGAAGTTCGAGAAGCAGGGATATGCATGCGGGAAAATCCTTTTTATGTTGATACTGTTCGCAGGTCAGCAACTTATAGTTTTCTACTTAACATGTGTTATTTGGTGAAATTCAGCTTCATGTTCATTCAACTTCATGAGCAATAACCTCAAATTAGAATACATTATTATTTGGGTAAGCATCTAACGTTTGTTTATGCATTTGATATTTGTTTCTGAAGTATGTAATTTTTTTTATCACGCGTCCATCAATATATATTAGGCTGAATGGTGCTAAAAAAGAATCTTTCACCATTGAAATTCTTGGTAATATAGAGCAAGTCCTTTGACTTAGTCTTAAAGGGGAGAAATATACGTAGTTTTTGACTCATTGAGAATGTGAGTGAAAAATAGGCTCGTGTTTTATCTTTTTAGTTTTAAAATCAGGTGGTTGTTGAAATCTTTTTCTGAATTCTTTTGGTCAAAGGCAATAACTATTAGATGAGCGTTCATCAGGGGAAGGTTTGGATCTTGTCCATCAAACTAGGTAGAATGGTAAAATTTTTTTGGAGTTGGAGGTAGCACTAAGAGGCTGGTGCATAGTGGAGGATCTTATTGATTGTTAGGTAGGCATTGGCAAAGGGAATGGTGGTGATTGTTGAGCTTCCTTTGTTGAGGGACAAAGTCGAGGTCGACCTTGTCAACTATATAGCTACTAAAGCCCATCAACCATGCTCTTCGGCAGGAAGGAGAGGGTTTGTCTTGCCTAGCATGCAAAGTAAGGTTAGAGGTCAAACATGTGCTAATTGAAGGAAAAGGTTGAGGTTGTTCTCGACTGTGAGGAGTTGTATGTTGTTATTTGTAGTGCTTAATATCTTTATGAGATAATGTCGAACTAACCTTTAAAATTCAGTAGCGCTAATCGATATTGGCTAAAAGTCATGGTAAAGAAGGCCCAACCTGAATTCAAATCCTCAGCCTTGGAGAAGGGCATGAGGATCTGAAGCTCTGATGGAGATGGCTAGCTTAAACTTAATCAGTAAGATACAAGGAGAAGGAAAATAATTTATTGTATTTGCTGCTATAACATTGCAAACTATTGATGTGTGACGTGTAGTGGTTAAACTAACTTTTCTTGTGGATAGTTTAAGAACAGAAAAAATTTAGGTAAGTAACGGGAGAATAAAGATGAGCTAGAAGGAATTAGATATCAAGGTGATAAAATATCAGGAGAAATTGACTGAAAAAGACAAGTTAAACAAAATAATAACTAGAAAAACAAAAATCGAGAGATATAACATGGATTCTTCCTAACAAAGAAATTATTAATTCATCATCCTTAATTTTATTTGTTCATAGCTCCTAACTTTTATATATATATATTTGTTATAACTAATAAAGAAAATCATAAAAAAGGAAATCTAAAGTATTTTAATTTCTATAATATTTATGAATTACCAAAAAGAAACTAAAATATTATAATGTTTAAATAAATCTAAGTAAATTAAAAATATAAAACAATCGTGATAATTACAAACGACATTCTTCATTTAGAAAATTTATTTCAAATGAATATGTTTTTGTGCTTCATCATTCTATCTCACTTGGTAAAAACTTGACCTCAAGTTTTGAAATAGTTAAGCATGAAGATCTTGAATGACTCAAATATGCTCTTCAAAATCCTTGAGAAGTCGAGGCTTTTAATAATCTTGATCGAAAATTGAAAGTTAAAGAAAACTATTTGTTCTTTAGCATCATAAACCCAATGAGGGAAAATGAAATCATCCAAGGAAATCGTTTTATAGCAACCATCATGGAAGAGAATCACTTCGATAGTAGCATGACGTGGAAGAGAATTATTAAAAGGAGTAAATTGCTCACCATCAGTAACATGAGCAAAAACTTCAGTATGAGCAAATATTTCTCGAGTTACAACTCGTGAGCAATAATTTTGATATAATATATGAATATTTTTTTTGAAATAAAAGTGTGAAACATGTATTAGAAATGACACCAAGGGGATATCGCCCATATGCAAAAATATTTACAAATTGAGGGTATCTACAATTGATCTAAAATCTTTAAAATTATATAAATTATTTTCCAAAAGAATGGAGGCAAAATAGTGTAGCCATTTATCCTTTAGTTTAGCAAAAGTATTCTCTGTCATCAAAAGCTCTATTGTCCATTTTTTTCCAAATAATCGAGAAGATAGAGAGTGGAATAAGACGGAAATTTCTGTCATTGCTAGGAAAATCCTCCCACACTGATGGTTCATTTTAAACGAATCCGCAATGACCCAATTGATACCCATGAGGCCAAAGACAAGAGTCCAAAGGCTGCAAGTGAAGAGACACTACAATAATAAGTGATTGTAGGACTCAGTATTGCATTTACAAAGGAAACAGTGGTTGGCAAGAATTTTCCCTCTTTTCCTTAAGTTATCAAGTGTCAGAATCCGTTCCTTAGAAGCTTCCTAGATAGTTTTATGAGGGAAGAGAACACCACTAGTGTCCCTTTTCTAGTCAATTGAGTGTAGAAAGATTTGACCGAAAAAATGTGATTCTTTCTCAAGACAAAAAGCATCCCTCGCCAGCAGATTCTTATCACTAGTAATGACAAAAATCTTGAGAAATCTGGAAATGAGAGTTTCATCACTACACCATTTGTTATACCAGAATTTGACTTTGTCCTCGCGCCCAACGTTCCATCTGGAATCTAGCACCTTGCCACACATAGACATGATCCCCTTCCAAAGACTCAATACATGGGGCCTGTTTAAAAGGGAAAGACAACCTTCCTTGCCTCTCCTCATCCATATTATGTTAATGATCTGTTGCCAAATGTGTGTGTAATCATTGAAGTATCTCTGAACCCATTTGCCATGAAGAGCTTTATTCGAAGTGGTAATGGATTTAAGGCCCAAGCCGCCCATATGGATGTCAGGAAATCTCTTGGGGTTTACTACAGAAAGAAGGGTAAGAAGGAAAATACACACGAAGGGCAAATTGGAAAAAAACAGAACAGTTGGGATTAGGGTTAACCAATCCTAAAGAGTATTCCATAGCCGCTACCTTTGCCTTCCAATCCATCCCGTAGACTACGCCGATCATCAGCATCACGCGATTTCGGCCTCGCAGCTCCAACAAGCTTGATTCCACCTTAAAGAATGATTTTATTTAATGTATTTAGACCTATAAAAAGGGTCCCTTCTATCGATTGTAAGCACAACGAAAAATCAATAAAAAGTCTTCTGCTTTCTCTCATCATTTTTCGTCTTCTCTCTTCTCTTTTTCTTCTTCTCAATTTCTTTCTTCACAAATTCAGAACCATGTCTAAGGCTTAGGACAAGTTGGTATTAGAGCAGGAACTGGTTAAATCTTATGTCGGTATCGCCACTCGAACATGCTCAAAAGAAAAGGCCTCGATGGCTGCACCAGAAGGTTCCGGTTTATTTACCACGGAGGAATTTGATATGAAACTAACATCTTTCATAGATGAATCGCACAAACAGTACAACATGCTGTTGGAACTACTTCGAGGCGTAACAGAACATATCAAAGGAAGCTCTGCGCAACAGGAAACCGAGAACCATGCAGGCGAAGGCCTCCTTCCGTCCCAGTATGGCACAAATGCAGAAAAAGAAGGGTTTTTGCCCGAACCAGGGTTGGGATGACCCTATTTACTAGGATCCATATCTCCGAACCAGATCTGATTCGGAGGAGAAACGGATCTAGTCGGCCTGATCCGACCCGATTTGGTTTGACTTGGCTTGGTCCAGAATCGGTCCGAATTAGGCTACCCAGAAATTTCCCTGTAGAGTTATTGTGTCACACCGAACCGCTCACAATTGCGCATTAAATCGTTCTGCCCCCCACTCATGCACTCCCTAAGGTGGAAAATCTCCTTTTTGAAGATGGAAACTCTTGCAGGTGGGTTTGGCGTTGTGAAAAAATATTTTATAGTCCACCACACTCTCGAAGAACAAAAAGTGGAGATTGCATTCCTATATTTGAGCAAAGTCGCCGACATATGGTATCACGGGTGGCTAGCTAAGTTTGACACTTTAAATTGAGAATATTTCGTGGAAGAACTCTGTCGACATTCTGGAGGACTCTTTTGAAAGAACTTCATAGAAAAGTTTACAAAATTATACTAAATAGGTACCGTTCTCGAATTTGTAGAAAAATTTGAATAATTACGTTCCCTTATGGATGCAGACAATCTAACACTTTTAAAGAGAATTTTCATATCCACTTTTATTAGTAGTTTCAGTTCACAGCTACAACTTATGATAAAGATCCTCAAGCTGCAAACGCTTAACCAACATTCAAACATGCTTTACTGCATGAACAATCAGTCATAATGCTCTAAAATCCCTATCTTCCCAGCTATGAAAATCTCTCATTAGAAAGAGACCGATATCATGGTAGACCTTCCAAGAGAATAGGAAAGGGAGCCGCTCCAAAAAGATCAATAGCTTGCTCCAACAAAGTAGTAATAACAGTGGAAGAAATCATGGCAGAAGAGATTTTGGAGGACAAAGCGTTAGAGGAAGGTAAAGAGGTTAGCAACGACCTTACTGGCACTCTATCCCTACGACCAATAGGAGTCACCACAGGAAATATCCTGAAGATATGAGAAAAATTGTCAAGTCTTGATGTGTTGGTCCTACTAGATAGTGGAATCTCACATTCTTTTATGTTATGGTGGCCAATAGTAAACTCTTAACAGTTATGGTGGTCAATGGACAAAAGATGTCCAGTCACCTTGAATGCCCAACGGTGACATGGACCATGTAAGGCTACAAGTTCACCTATAATTTTCACATAATTGCATTAGGAGGTTATGACATGATATTAGGAGTTGACTGAATGAAGCAATTCGATCTAATGATGTTTGACTTCCTCCATGCAGCGGTAAAATTTGATTATTGAAGTTCACAGACATCCTTGCAGAGTTATGACTCCTGCGAAGCATCTGATGCAAGAGAAATAAAGGCGAAATATTTGATCAAACATAAACAAGTGGTCGAAGGTGGAACAATATTCCTAATAATGAAGGTTCTAGAAGAGGTACCTAAGTC